GTTAAGTCCTGCTAAAATCTCTGAGCCACTGACGCACAGCAAGATTGCTTCACCCTAAGAGGATTTTATCGAGGTCCGATCAAAAGTCCATTTGCGTAGTTACGGCGCCACTTGCAACAGCTCCATGTTGGCCTACTACTTTTTACCTCGTATTACTTTCTTATTATTACTTTGTTTTTTCCATCTCACTTTTTTATGTAATGTTTATTGCAGATTTTGAAACTGGTGGACGTTTTCTGTTCCCGTGATTCATTATCACTGGTCACCGAATTCGTGCCTTATCACTTGAATGATATCATTACCGACTCGAGACGTCCGCAAGATGACGGATTCCTGAGGTATCATTTTACCTTAGAGAACATCAAACCAGATCAGTTACCCAATATTTCTGTGAAATCGGTTTTCATAAATCAGTCAGTGAAGCTAAATTTGTCTATTTATTTGAATAACCCTCCATTAGATTGGAAGCCATACCAAAGAAGGGTGTGTGGCTTAGCATAGGCAGGATTTAGCCCCAAATTTGGTGTCGTGGCATGAATTGTTACTTTTTGCTACCCCACCTTTGCTCTCAATCAAAATACAGAAATTAACATGGCCAGGAAATTTCTCATCGAAATACTCGTCCTTTCAGGCATTTTTTCAAACAAATCATCGAAGGTGTGAAGCACATGCACTCACTTGGCATAATGCATCGGGTATGTTCATAATTGTTTCTTACATCCGTAAGCATCAGGCAGCCGTGTGATGTCCACTGCAGACTTCACAACACAAGTGACGACGGCCTCTACAAAATGTAAAAGTTTTCTGCCAATGAAATGATTATCCTGTTACAGTTGTGTTCTGCCAGTTGTCACTAATTACAGCTATCATTCATCACTAACTGAATTGCTAGTTATCAATTATTCGAGGCCATCGTCATTTATGTTGTCAAATCTGTAGTGCGGACTTCCTTGGCCGTCGGATACGAAGAGCAAAAAGCTTCAAGAAGTAGTTAAACGAAGCTTATGGGTGTTTAGAGGAACCAATCAGTCCTTATCATATCTTGAAGAGGAATTAAGACCGAAGCGATTGAGGGACTGAACAGGTCTACGTGACACAAAAGCTGCACGGTTTTGTGGGATTGCCTTTACGCAAGCTGAGATTCTATGATGACTTCTGTGTATCAGTGAGGAGACAATTTATACACTATTGAGCTCGATGGGAAACAAAACAGGCCTAAGCTAAGATGTGGTGTCATGACTTAGGAACTTATCAAACATAGCAACATTATTTCTCGGAGTGGGGGGGGGGGTTACCAGCGTTGGTAGACGAGCTGATTCATTCCAGTAACGCACTTTGCGTTTTGTGAGGATTGGTGGCGCCATGCTTGTCTCATTGTCAGATTTTTCTCCCATTCATCTATGTTCAACAATTTTTAGAGCAGGCCATTTCAAGCATACTCCCCGCTGAATAATCCATACATTCAAAATGAGAGAATTAGGTTGACATTGGTTCAGTGTCCTGAATTCCGGAAAGTTCTTCTGGCAATTTTCCACAACCTTCGCTTTGTCTCATCCTGCCGGAGGGTCCAATGTTCCCCCTCGGAGGTCTCCTTGCACAGTGCATCTCCTGAATTTCGAGAAGTTCCAGTGGCTTAGTTTGAATGACTCTTGTTACTGTAATTTTTACACGCCCTGTATCATTTTCAGAGGGGTTTCCGGAGTATCTTCCTTGACCGGCTCCTCATGGCTGGTCATAAATTGACAGAACCATGCAAAATGCTACCTTTAATCGGTACTTATGGTATCGGCATGCGCACAAAAGCATTCGCCTCCTACATATGATCCTTGGCCATTCTCCCGATTCTTATAGATAGAATGTAATATTTTGTAGTGTTGTGTTGGCTGCTGCTGCTGTTCGACTTGCTTGAAAATCTGATGCTTGGCCACAAAGCTCAGGTTACAAAGCGTCGTAGATTATTACGTCCGTCATTCGATAAGCGTATTTCAATTCACAATCAGTCAGGGGGCAATGTTCAGTATATTGTGCAGCTCGTAGGCTGCCAGAGTGTCATTATTTTGTTTTAAGCGTAGAATTTCAGGATCTGAAACCTGAGAACATACTGGTCTCATCGCACAATATTGTGAAAATAGCCGATTTTGGTCAAGCCTGTCTATACTTTCCGAACGAGGATCGCGAATACGAAGAGAATGTGGGTTTTTCCTGAACATTTTTTTCCTTGGAATTTGAATTTCACTGGGTAAGCCCTGAAATAAAGCTGGCGCGGAAGCCCTCGCAGAGTTGTGGACTGCGTGGAAAGTGGAAAAGAATGCAAAAGTGACTTCTGAACGCACAAAATCGTGCGCTTGAAGTTTTCGTAAGGTCGGGTGGTCGGAGGAGAGACAGAGCGTCTTTACAGAAGAGAGAACGCGTGAAAGAGCACGCAGGATGAGAGGGCACAGATAAGCGACCGCTGCGCAACGAGCGATTACCACCAAAATGGGCCACCAAGTATTGGCATAAGAGCTACGCTAGTTACTGTGATAAGATAGTAACGCATCTTGTTGTGTCTCACTTCGAGCACTTGTTCGAGTGGCCCGTCAATGAGTTCACAGCATCTATTTTACTACTGGATGGGGTGCTATGCGAGCTGGCCTAGACTTCGGACTTATTGGAATCATCCATTCAAGAAAAACTCTCTTCACAGTGGAAGCTGAACCATTTTCTTCACCTAATTCCAACGCGCCTCAAATATATAACTACTGCTGCCATCAAAGCTCATCAAGTCCATTTTCCTTTTATGAGGGATCAAAGAAATGTCCAATAACTGAAACAATGAAATATTTCTGCATTCCATGATATGTTGTGACTCTTTGAGAGGAATGGGCCGATTTTGGGTACCGCAGAGTGATTTTTTGAGAACTGCGACTCCGTGAAGATGTGCAATATTGTTTGTGTGTCCAAATACGATACCCCTAGAGGAGCTTTGAACCACCCTCTGTTTGAGTAGACTGGCCACGTGCAATTTGGCAAGTTATGGAAAAAAGTCACAATGTGGCCACAGTGGTTTGCCTTGAGCGTTTCCTAAGGTCGGTCTGTATTAAAGATACTGGGAAATTTAGCCTACAGAATTAGTTCTCTGGCGGTAAGTATATTCTATTGGAACTGTGGAAGACGATAAACTTTTCTTTTGCAACCGGCCTCCAGTGTCGCTTTCTTTCTGCTGCGAGTTGCAATATAGTCTATTTGAACTGCAGAAATTCTGCCATAGAGCTCTCTCTCGTGAATAGAGGAGCTCCTATTTGAGGACTTTTTTCTTTAAATTTTGCCGCTCACTAATGCGAGACTGTTGATCAAATGCCACCGATCTTCTCATCCTTTTGCAGAATGTTCTGTGCGTTCCAGGAATAATAAAGAATCTAGTCCAATTTCACTAGATCAGCCCATTGGGCCTTTGAGGGTAAGAAAACAGCTGATTTCGATGAACTTGTGAAACCACAAAAAATAGTTAAATGTTGGCACTGATTTGTTCCACTTGCTCAAGCACCAGAGTGTTCCGGTCGAATTTAAAAAGCTATCCTTTCTTGATTGATTCTGAAGCAATTCCATGTAAAATTCCAGCCCCTGCTTCAATCCACCCACTACAACTGATAATGAGTACGAATTTCACGAGCTTCGGTTCCCCGTCGGTTTATTCGTCAATGTTCACTAATGAAAAACAAGCCGAATTTGTTTGCGTACGCAAATCGACGATATAAAGATGTCAAAAGATGAGTGATGCTGGTCTGTTTATGGAAACGTCGATCAGCTTGTGGACACGGCTCTTGCATCTGGGGCTAGGAGGAAGCTGTATGAAGCGATACGCGTTGTTGAGGAATCTAGTCATATAAACCATTTCCGAGAAGAGTGTTGGTAAAAGGAAAACCTTTATATTTAGAAAATTGCAGAAATTTTTCACCTGGAGTTCACATGCTCGAACGCTGTGGTGTCAGAGATGCGCCACGCATTCTACTTTCACTTAAAATCACAGTGGCGATTGAATGCAATATAGTCTATACAACTAACAGCTTATATAGGCCAGCTGATGTTTAAGTCAGTGTTGCTATGCTCCTACAATCAAGGCCAGTAGTGCTGAAACTTTTTGCTCAAATACGGGATGCTTCTTCCCCCCCCCCCCACTACCCTCCTCCACTCACACGGCATCAAGTACTCCTATGTTCCCACGACCTCTTAGCTCCCCAAATGTCCTCACCTTTACCAAGAACAACGTTGGCAGAGAACGAGAATAAAATGTGAATTTTCTTCATTTATTTTATTTATTCACAGAATTCACAGATTATTTCACAGAAGTGCAATTTTTTTGTTTCCACCACCTCTCTAAAAAGAAGCCCTCCAGCACGGTTTTAGCAGTATAGCCCTGGTCGAACTTCTCATAACGGGCGGTTGACGCTGCCTAAGCACCATGTCTCAATGATCATCAACACTTACGAGGTCTTCCTCTTCGTTTTTTACTCCTTTGATGAGCAAACCAATGTTCCATCGTCTATCGTCAGCTGTTCCGGCGAGTCACTAATACTAATAGGCAATAATCCCCACAGTGCAAGGTAGGTAAGTGCACAGAAATGAACAGTGATTCTGACAATATGGATAAGCAGGATCTCATCTCTATTAAAGAACTGATTGCATTAATTTCATAATTCTGAATTTTTCAACTCTTGAGCACATTGAACAAAGAAGATAGCCAAGAAAATTTTGTCCAGCTGAAAAAAAAACATCTAAGCTGGCTAAGGTCTGGCTCAAGTTTTTGGCGTGACTTCTTGGAAATGTCCTCATTTTTTCATATCCTTCTTGATTTGTCGTCGGAACCTATTTGCGTTTTATTCCAAGTCTAGTGCTTTTTGAAATGAAATTATTTGGTTTGGCCTGATATCGTAGCGTTTTTTCCGAGCGTATAAATTCAATCAGTACAAGTAAAATCCGAAGAATCGCGTAGGCCTTTTGAAAGTGCTTTTTCTGCTCTACAAAACCTAATTTGTCTTGATATGTGATATGAATACAATTCAAAAATACGAATTCATTTTTT